GTGTTAAAATTAGTTCTACCATGACAACATTTAAATGCTGCTTACATGTAGCCTACGTTGATCAATTAATACTCAATACATATTCATGTATATGATGATTACAACACTTGAAATTGGGTCACTCTGCATAATGAGTACTTTTAATTTTAAGTAGTCCTACATTTTGCTGACAATACCCAGATACTTTTACTCAAGTCAGATTTGGTATGCAACACTTTTACTTGTGACTGAGTTTTTGTTCTTTGTTGTGATATTCCTGGGTACTTTGTCCACAACTGGACAAACATATCGAACAGACATGCAAGCATCGCATGTCTCATCCTCATCCTCATTCTCCGCTGTCTGTCTGTCCGCAGTTTATTTATTTTTCTCCCCCCTGAGCTTCAGGACAATGACTACAAGAGGGAGTTAAACCACCTTTTAACATTATTTAACATTAGAAAACAGATGGGATATCAAATATAGACTGATGTACCAAGTACATTATATACACAGTAAACCTCTGATAATTAAAATTTGCACACACAAATGAATATCATCCTGAATTCACAAATTCTTTATTTATTATTGCTTTTTATGCACTCATCTTACTTTTTTCTTTTAGTTACAGGACTGATGTTTTCCTAACCAGAAAAAAAAACACATTACCCTGCTCTGCCTCTGATTGGCTAGTACTCGTTGCCATCAGGGTCAGAGCCAATTAGAAGCAGGATGCTGGTGTGAAAAAATTCTGCTGTTTCCTGTGTGTTTGGTGAAAGGTGAGGGACAGAGGGAACAGGCAAGACAAACTATCCTACGTTTAAATAACGTATCGAAAATATCTGCTTGACAACTTATTATGGAGCTGGGAACAAGCCCAAATAAGCAACTACGCTTTAGAAACAAGCCCAAAAAAACCGTGACTACCAATATTTGTAAGCGACTTTACAGAAAAACAAGCCCACACTCGCTTATAATAAGTGGACTTGGCAACTGTCTCCCTCGCGGCGGCGGCCAGAGATAAAGAGTGTGTCTCTATATGAGTACCGCCACCAGCTGACCTGGAGTTTCAACACTGACATTCTTCTTCTTCTTCTTCTTCTTCTTCTTCTTGTCATTATTAGGGGTTCAAGCCCGAAGAGCTGAAACCCTTTTGTTTTTGTGCTGTTTTATTATTATTATTATTATTATTATTATTATTATTATTATTCAGACATGTTTTTGCAAATTCCCGTGAGATGGTACATTGTAGAGACATGAAATTTTCGCACATGATTGGGAGTTGGAAGTGTGCAAATAGTGCTCAAAATATGAAAATGCCAATAAGCCAGATGGGGGCGCTATAATTAAGGTCAAAGAAAATTTGGATTTAAAAGGCCACCACTCTTGCACTATGTCAGATTGACTTGAAACTCGAAACATGGTCAGGTGAAGGGGGTCTACAAAAGCCTAAAGAACCCTTAAGGTCCGCCCACTGGATTGTCTGCCATATTGAATTTTCTGAAAAACACCATTTTGACATCGTCTACTAAGGCATTGGTCCAATTTGCACCACACGTTCTGTAGATCACCATGGAATGAAGCTAAGTTAAGTTAAAAGTTAAAACAAATATCGCGAAAATTTGAAAGGAATTGGTGATTAACCAAACTGGAAGAATCTCATTTAATCTGGGCAGAGAGTCTAAAAATGTATAAGAGGGGCCTCCGCAATGCCAGAGCAAACTATTACTCAGCATTAATAGAAGAAAACAAGAATAACCCCAGGTTTCTTTTCAGCACTGTAGCCAGGCTGACTGAGAGTCACAGCTCTGTTGAGCCTTGTATTCTTTTAGGCCTTAGCAGTAATGATTTTATGAACTTTTTTAATGACAAAATTCTAACTATTAGAGGCAAAATTCATGACCTCCTGTCCTCAGATAGTACCTATCTAACCTCAAACACAGCTGTAAGACCTAATATATATTTAGATTGCTTCTCCCCAATTTCTCTTCAAGAATTGACCGCAGTGATTTCTTCATCTAAATCATCAACGTGTCTCTTAGACCCCATCCCAACTAGGCTACTTAAGGAGGTCTT